CCTCCTCCTTCCTGACCTTTTCTCCCTTTCTGTTTCTCTTTTTCCATCCCTTCCTACTCATTCATCTACCGATCGAAGAGAGTAGGTCCTCCCTTCCCTTCTTCGATTCGAAATAAGCGCAAAACTTAGTTTTACATTGCATAATTAACAAACGACTACGTAAAAAATATTCAAATCTGATACGACGATCGTTTATTTCGTGAACAAATGCTTCTAAATTGATAATCATTCCAGATTTGTTTATTATTTTTAATTTCGATTTTGAAAATGTATTAATATGTTTGAAAATGATAGAATAGTGTAATATTAATTATGTTCATATATTAAATTTAGTGTACGATACTTTATAGCATGTCTTGATTTTGACATTTCTATCAAATCAAGGCCAAATGACTTTGCGTTGTAGCGTTAAAATTGTGCATGACTCGACGAAATTTTCTTTGGATATCTACGCGTGTATAAAAAGGTGTCATTAATCGACATTCGTTGATGGACTCCGTTAATGGAGAGTCCGGGATAAAATTCGCTTTTAAAATTGTCGAATCACGTCGCGGTGGCATCCTTTTTGTTCCGCGTCAACGAAAACTTGACGTTGAAGTGTAAGGCACGCATTGCACGCGATATAATAAAAAGTTCTCGGCGTGTTGACATATACATCAGCCGATATGGCATTTCGCATTCATGTGTAAACAATGTGAAACATTGTTTTTCGAGCTTTCTGTCACCCTGAGAAATCTCATATTAAGCATTTTATGAATGATTTTGAGCAAATTCATTCATAAAGGAAAAAAAAATATATATATTAAAGACGATATGCTTATTAATCGATTATAAAATTATATTTTTTATTTGTTTTATTCTCGAGAGATATTTATGCGTTACAATTGTGCGTAAGATTACAACGCATTACTGCGAAGATGTATTAATGCAAGGAAAACACTCTCCGCATTCGCCCTCGGTATTTTCGAGGATTTGTCAGTGAACTTTCACCCGCCGGCCGTGTGTAGCAAAATGCAGTTGCGACACTCGCAATAGCGCGCCTCGAGGCAGTATTTTTTGTTTGCACAAGCGACAACGACAACGACGGCGACGACGATGCTGGCGACAGCGACGGCGACGTTGACGTCGGGGGGAGAGGGGGAGGGGGGGG